AGAACTAAGAATTGTAAGGCATTTCTTTTCTCAAAAACCTACCTGCAAGATAAAAGTCCCTACTCTACCATGGATTTAAGGCCTTTCAAGAATTGGCCACAATTATCCCTAGTCTTATCTTCCATATTTCAACAGTGTTCTAGATTACACTCATCTTCCTTCTTCAACATTATCCTTCATTTCCGCTTCTTTTTATTTATGCTACGATCTCAGCCTTAACAGAGGTTGCAAACCTCTGGACCCTAGATTTTATATATATACACAAAAGCATTTTTTCCCTTACAGATAAATCTGAGCCAACATTTTAAAATCATGAGATTTAGAATAAACATTAGAGTTTCCAGTTTCTTGAAAAATGTTTGTTTATCTAAGATCTGGCTACAAAATTTAGGGTTTAGAATTTGCAACCTATGTTTTAGGCTGAGCACATAGCATAAGAAAGAACAAGTGGAGGTGACGACCACAGTCCCTGTTGCTGTACGGCAGCAATCAACTGAAGCTGCATTGTCAGCGGCCCCCTCCTTTAGGGGCATGTATTTGTCACCTAGCCAGATTTTTCGATATAATTATAGAATGATCAGGTAAGTGGTGGATAACTGGACATATTTCCTGATGTCACACAATATAAAAATACCTCTGCTGTGAGGTGTCTAATCCCCAGGAATGTTTAATTCGAATCTCTGAAGACTTTAAATCTATAATGTTTATAGTAAAAATTGGAGCTTGAGGAACAAGCCAAAGGACATTGGAAAAATCAAATTCAAAAGACCATCTCCAAGGCAGCTGCCCTGACCTCTTCAAGTCGGTGTTAACACAAAAATAAGGTGGTTCCAGGAATCCAGACTAAAAGGGTAAGAGACTTAAGGGATGTAACCTGATGTAATGTATGGGCCTCCAGATGTGGACAAAAACTAGCTATACAGGACTTTTCTTGGAATGACTGGGGAAATATGAATGTGGGTTTTGTATTATTAATGATGTATTATTAACTTTAAGCCTTTATTACTTTGGCAATGTAGGAAAATGTTCTATTTTCCAAATATAGATACTGAAGCAAAAAATGAAAAGAGCCAACCCTCCCTACCCGCTCAATTCTCTTGACCTTAGACATCTAGAATGGGTTGGCAAACTCTCTATAAAGGGCCAAGTAGTAAATATTTTAGGCTTTTTGAGCCATAGTTCTATTACAACTATTCAGTTCCGCCATAACACAAATGTAGCCAAAGATAGAACATAAAGAAATTGGCATGGTTGTATCCATTTTTTTTTTTTTTTTACAAAAGCAGGCAGCAGTTACAAGCCATAGTTTGTTGACCTCTGATCTAGAACAAACACTGCTTTTTCTGAAAAGCCTTTTCTGACACTCATCACAACCAGTGGCTTTATCTTCCTCTGCTTACATCCAAACTCAAAAACCAAACCCACTGCCACTGAGCTGATTCCGATTCCTAAGGACCCTGTAGAACAGAGTGTAACTGCTCCAAAGCTGTAAACCTTTACTGAAAGCAGACTGTCACAGCTTTCTCTCGTGAAGCAGCTGGTGGGTTCAAATCACCCTTTTGGTTAGCAGCTAAGCGCTTAACCAGTGCACCGCACCAGGATGCCTTTCTGCGCACATACGTAGTGATACTGCCTCGGAAACCCAAGGAGGGGTCGCTATGAGTCGGGGCTGACTCGACGGCACATTACAACAACAACAACAACTTGTAAATACACTTAGCTATTTATTATGCCTTATTATTTTCTCCACTTGGGAGTCGGTTCTTTGAAGGCAGGTGCCAGGATGAAACCCTCATCTCCATCCTAATGAGTACCCTGAAAACAGACACTTGGTCGATGTTTCCAGGACCCACATTTACCCTAAAAGATTTGGCACCACTCGTGACATTAAAAAGAATGACCAGCAGGTTCTGAAACTAATTTTGAAGGAGTTTCAGAAGAACAAGTTGAGCACTACCAGTATCATTAGAGTCTGTGCTCTGATGCTCTATACTGTGATGTGTTCATCATTTTTATTATCATTCCTTGTGTGCATGAGAGGGTAGTATATTCAGTGGGTGCAGGAATACTTTTTTTTTTTTAAATCTCCTAGAGTATCTATAAAGGAGCTCTGGTAGTGTAGTGCCTAAGGCACCTGACTGCTAACCAGAAGGCTGGCGGTTCAAATCCACCAGCCACTCCTCAGAAAGAAGGTTGGGCAATCTACTTCCGTAGTGATACCTCCTGGGAAACCCAAGGAGGGGTGGCTATGAGTCAGGTCTGACTTGACAGCACATAACAACAACACAGTGTCTGTAGAGTACTACTGGATTTACATTAGGTGTATGATAAATAAGGAGCCCCAGTGGCACTGTAGGTAAGTGCCTGGCTGCTAACCGAAAGGTTGGTGGTTCAGACCCACCAGTCACTCCATGGGCAAAAGATGTAGCAATCTATTTCCATAAAGATTTACAGCCTTGGAAACCCCATGGGGTTGCTGTCCTATGGGGTTGCTATGGGTTGGAATTGACTTGCTGGCAATGGGTTTGGTTTTTGGTATGATGCTTAGATTTAAAATATAGTTCTGGGGGAAAAAGGATTTCCTTTGTCTCATGATAGGGAGAAAGGTGGCAGCAAATGCCCCTGAGAAGGTTTATCAAGATCTGACAATCACAGCAGGTGCAGGTGATTCAGGATCCCTCCCTCACATTTGCATTCGCAGGAGACATTGTTGGGGGAGAGACTTCTCTACCTGTGATGGAATCCTACATTCAGAAATAAAGGTGCCTGCGGGGGGCCATGGAATTCGCGGTAAAGACAGGCCCCGGAAAGAACACAATTCAGATCACTGGAGAGAGCCTGGGCTGCTACAGAAAACAGGAAGGATGTAGGAGGGTATACAGAGCAATGCGGATGTGGGGTGTCCACTACTACTACTGCCAGACATCCTCCTAAAATAAAGGTTAGTTCTAAGACAAAGGTAGGTTGCAAAGCAAGGAAAGAGTGAGGGGAATTAAGGTGAGAAAGGCCAAAGCAGAGGAGAAACCTTCACAAGGGGAGGGATGTTGAATTAAGAACTGAGTTGAGTAAAAGGTTTATTAGTGCAGTGAACACCATGTAACAGCACATACAACACACAACCAGCAACCAGGGTAGGGAAGGCTTCACTAAGCTTCCTAGCTCTGTCTGAAGGACAGGAGAAGATGGGCCTGGGGAAGGGAGCAGGGGCAGAGAGCGGGAGAGATGCAGTCCAGACTAAGTATAGCAGCGTTTTCAAATTCCTGAGCACAATGGCCTGGGGCTGGAGCTTATGACTGTCTCCTAACCCCTCAAGCTGTACCCCTTCACCCCAATGCCAGTGGAGCTGTGACACAATTACTCAGAACTATGCAAACCAGCCTGGCATAAAACTCCAAAGAGAGAAGAAAACTGTTATGGTATGGCGGGGAGGAACCTTTCAGTCTTGCCAACCCCACTCCTACCTGCCTATTAAAATCATCATATCCCCTATCCCTCTCCCTCCTTCACTCTGCCAGTCATCCTAGGGATGGAGGAATGCCCAGGGGTAGCTGGAAATGGAACTGAAGACCCCAGGGGTGTGGGTGAGGCAGGGCACAGCCTGTACTCAGGGGTGACCAGGGATATACTTCTTATCCCATCTTGCCTGGTGAAGCTTAGAACCCAGCTATATAGCTGCAAGGAAGGGGGAGGAACTGCCTTCAAACTTAATCATCTAAAACCAGAGTCTATGGGACAAGGCTCTCCAGAGGGCACTGACATTGATGCTGGGCTGGCATATCCATCCCACCACAGAGGAAGTTCCTCATCTCAGGTGGGGTCACTGTGGCTTGGGGCCGACATCAACTGTTCAGCCAAGGACTCCCTTGACTCATCCTGTATTAAAGCCAAAGGCTGTGCTGAAAAGTATAAAACAGACCCCATCCCCACCCCACCCCACCCGATCCAGAATCCCCACAACAGGAACAGCAAAAGAAAAGTTTTAAGTTTTGTTGATTTTTTTTTCCTTTTTCCTTTCTTTTCTTTTTTTTTTTTTTTAAAAAAAAGTAAATAAATTAAATTACCAACAATGTGACTAGTGTGGAAAATGGGGTAGCAATAATCAGGCCATTCTTTTAAAAAAGTGTATGTGGGGTGGAGAGTGAAATATAAACAAACAACAATGGCCAAAGGAAATTTTCAAAGTAACAACAATCACAGGGCTAAAGAGGGGTCTATGGGGCTATTACTGGCAGTGCCCCCAGGGGCAGTGCCTATCCTACTTCAGCAAGAGCCAGAGAGCAGCTCCTTGCTGATTCATCAATCCCAGTAGACTCACCCCTACTGCCAACCCCATCAATCCCAAATTATGAAAAAGCTAAGAGTGAAGAGCTCATCTGGAAATGTTCAGCATCCCAACCTGCACATCAGCAGAAGCCTGCACTTTTAAGGTGGGCTGAACAAGTATACTGATTGGCACAGGGGCCCAGTCTTTGCCTAAGGGAGATCAGTGATGGCCATTTACTATCTGGCCTATTTCTAGGTTTTGGTTCCACCTTTACCATTTATTCAGGATGTACACTAGAGATGGCCCCTAAATGCTGCTTCCGAGTCCACAGGCCTGCCTGCCTGCTCCGGTTTCCTGTTTTGGAGGAGGGGGCCAGTTACAGATTCCTCACTCCACCCTCATTCTCTGAAGGAAACAGATCTCTTTGTGCTTTCTGAAAATATCTGGAACCAGACTCTAGGCAGGAAAACAGATAGAGGTGGGGATCCTCCCAACCAGACTGAGCATTTACAGACATTTTAGGGGAATAAATATGGCAAAAGGAGGGAATCTGAATTTCCCACCTGAAAGGCTGAGCGAAGTGCCCTGGAGCCCTTCAGTGCCAGAAGAGCAAGGACATGTGTGGCTCATGGGCTGTGGTGTTTAGAGTATGGGTGGGGGGGGGACACAGGGCCCAGTTGGTGGAGTGACAGGATTTTCTGCTTTCCATTTTGTCCTGATAGCCGGTTGCAATCTCCTATATCTCCTCCACACCATGCGCAAATATCATGACAAGACCTGGCTCCTGAACCATGTCATCACCCATATGCTGGTTTTCGCAGGCCATCACAACAACAGCCTGCTTGCCAGGGATGCGCTTGGCCACGTAGTTCTCATAGAAGCGCCGGTTCATCTGTCTTGTCTCTAGCGTGGCCAGACCCTGGGGCCAGCTCCGCTCATGGGCATTTTCAATTAGCTCGTTGACAATAGAAGCAGGACAGCCACTCTCCACCAGGGAGCGCTTGATTACAGCCTGGAGCACAGCATCGGGGGTCGAGATCATCCCTCCCCAGCGAGTCACTCTTGCTGGCTGCAGGGAGTTCACCCACCTGTGTGGAGGGGGTCGGAGGTGATCAATCCAGCATGTCACTTTTCTCTGCATTGGCTTTTTTTCCTAAGAGGAATGACCCCCAACTCTGCACTCATGTTAACCCTACTCTTTCTTCTTTCCTTCTGTCATTGGCTCAGAAACTCAATCTTTCCTTAGTTGGCCCCAGTGAATTCACCACACATTACTCACCAGATTAAATCTCAAGATATAAGGGTCCTGTTATTTTTCCTTGAAATCCCAACATTTAGCAGACGTAGTAGTAAGTACTCAACAAATGTTTATTAAATGAAGCAATTACTCCTCTATACTGCGTCCCACTCAGCACTATTTGCCCTATATATATAGTTTCACACTTACAGTTTAGTCTACAGACTGTAGAACTGAAAGGGATCTTAGACTTCACTTGTTTACCTCGCTTGCTTTTGCTGCATTTTAGATTACTTTCCTGGATTTGCACTGTCTCTTCTTCTTTGGACTGTAAGCTACCTGAAGACAGGGACAATACCTTCCATTTCTTTTCTGTCCTCCTAGCACTCCACAGCCTTCACTACAGGGCTTTGGACATGGTGGGTACACACCTAATTCTGGATAAATTGCACTCCTGGTCAGCTTTCCCTTCCGTTACCCAAATGAATAAAAGATCCTGCCCTGGGCTGAGGGCTGTCCTCTTCTGCTCTGCCCTGTCCTTCATCCCAACATCTGAGAAGCAGTGGCCCAGCCCAACTCGCTCATTCCTCTCCTGACTACACGCCCCTGCTCTTTCTCCTTTCAGGCCTCTAAGCCAGGATGTGGAGCAAGTGACTCCATGTCCTGAGTGACACTTACTCTAGAATCTCATTGTATTCGATTGTTTCCTCCAGGTTCTGAAGGTTGGGGTTGACACTACGGATTGCTCGCATATATGCCTTGAGCAGCTGGATGTCTCGCTTCTGTTGGGGGGGAGGAGAACCAAAGAAGATGGTTAAGGCAGAAAGCAGATCAAAGACAAAAGCTTATCTGAGAAGGGAGGCAAGTGAGAGATCTGGGGGATGACCAGAGTGTAAACTTGGTAAGGGCAGGGATGGGACTGTGTTCCCAGCTTTATCCCCAGTGCTTAGCAAAGTGCATTCAGAGAGGAAGTATTTGATAAGTGAGAGGGGAATGAATGGGATGAAGGCGAGAGGAGCATTCCAATCGGATTCCTACTAAGCCACAGGCAGTGTCCACTCACAGGCTCACAAGCACAAGCACAGGGCTGTGTACACGAAACTGGTGTTTCTCACCCACAGGCACACAGTTTTTGGCACATCAGGGACACGTTCTCCCCCATATTCTCTGGAACCTACCTGCTCCGCCAGCTGGTGTTTGTGTTCAGCTGACGTCTTCTCCAGCTCCGCGATACGTGTCTGCTGCTGTTGTACCACTGAGCGCAGGTGCTTAATACAGTTGTGGTTTGGCAGCTCATCTTTGGGCATCTCCAGGCTGCAGCCCAGGGTGGGGAAAGAGGACAGTGGCATTCAATGGGACATGTGGGCAAATGGCCAATTCTGTGGCAGAAAACTGCTGAGTGGGCTTTCTCCTGCCCACAATTTCTACAAGCTTCCTTCTTGCTTCCTGTCTTTACCTTCTTCTAAGTTTCATCCTCATCTCTTTGCTATCACCTTTTTCTGGGCTCTTTTCTGCCCAAGACACAGCGCTTTACCTACTACCTGGCTCTCCTTTTCTCGTATAGATCCTGCCTGTGTGCTTGTTGCTTCAGAGATACCCCAGATTCCCAGCCCCAGCCGTCGGCATTTAATCAAATATTTCACAGAAAGAAAAAGTAGGGCAAGAGGAAATATGAGAAGGATGGAAATTAGAGTAGTCAGTCTGACAAAGAGAAAGTCATACTGGACTGAAAGGGAAGGATCAAGGAAATCAATCTTTAGTATTAGCACACAGATTGCTGAATTGCAGTGCCTCTCCTACTGAAGCAGGAACAGAGCCTAGCTGGAAAAGAAGCAAGAAGGTGAGATCTCAGGGTAGGGAGCCGGGGAGGCCAGTGACTCTCCTTGTCCGCATGCATATGAAAACCCCTCAGCTAGTGAGCAGGGATCCAAAGACAGGGGTGTAAATGTGGAGGCCCTTATCTGTATGGGGCAGAAGAAGGGGCGGAACCTCACCCACAGCCCTGTTCACAGGTCACAGGCCTCTTCGGGTTGTGCTCACAGTCACTGAGGTGAGACATGAGGTTGTCAAGCCGGACAACAGCACTGCAGCCAAATACAGCGTTGTCACAGGCAATCTGCAGCTTTGACAACATGTTCCGCATGATCCGAGGTACGGGGCGCAGGTGGGCGACCGTCACGACGCTACGGTCCACCGGACACGTCTGCTGCTGAGAAAACCACTGGGTGATGCAGGCATTGCAGAAAGCATGCTCACAATGAGGTGCCTAGAAGGGAGAGCAGGGGAAAAGGGGCACAAGGGAATTAGCAGGCACTAAGAGCCTTCACATGATAACTCTACAAAGCCAATCAAGCCTTTAAGCAGCTTCTAGAACCAGAGGTCCCTAGGGTCACTGCAAAGTATAAATCTACTATGGGCAAGGCATCGTGGGGCCAAACTAAAGATAATGTTTCCTATGCTCAAGATTATAAATGGGCTGTGAGACAAGACAAACAAGTAAAATGTTATGTAACACTAAGAGATATAAATAACATTTCAGCACAATGAGATGACATAAGGCAGTCAATTATTAACTGCCAAGTGGATTATATACATAATAATTGTCACAGAAGTCCAGAGGAGGGTGAGATCTTTTCGGGCTAGGTCAATCAGGGCAGATATTTGTGGTGAGAATAGAATATGATATGGGTCCTGAAGGATGATTCACACTACAGATGTAGAGAGGAGACGGACTGAGATTTGCTGGCAGAAGTTCAATGCAAGAAAGCAAAAAAGACGTTTTTAGAAGCCCAGGACTCCTGTTAAGAATCCTCTCAGTGATGGTCCCAGTTCTTATTTTCTGAGGGCTGACCTGAGATGCTGCCTGAGTCCCAATCACCAGGCTTTGCCTCCAAAACAGGGCAGGGGATTTTCCTAGAATCATATTCTTTTCAGTTTCAACAAGATCATATTTCACCTACTTCCCTGATAACTCAGGTACCTTCTAAAGTTAATCCCTCCAAGTGACAGGCTTCCCTAGCCTCTGTGAGACACCATCTGGCATCTAGCATGAGATATTGTAGGCACTTAGTGTCTACTGACACTGATGAGTGAATGACTGGTATACCTATTATGTCCAAAACACTTTGTTAGGTACTTGTGATTTAAAAAAAAAAAAAAAAAAACCAAACTGCTCTTGAGATGCTCACAGACACCAAAGATTGAAACCTAGAAAAAGTAAGGAAAGAAGTCATTCTCATTATCACTAATGCAACCGTCAGCAGCTTTTTAGTTTCCATTCAAAGACATTTGATTCTTTTCAAAGTACCATAGGCCCTATAAGGAGCTCTGGTAGCACAGTGCCTATGGCATCTGACTGCTAACCAGAAGGTTGGTAGTTCAAACCCACCAGCCACTCCACAGAAGCAACACTGGGCAATCTACTTCCATAAAGATTTACCACGTTGGCAACCCAATGCAGGTTGCTATGACTTGGAATCAACTCAATGGCAGTGGGTTGGGTTGGTTTTTTTTAAAAGGCCCTATCTCCAAAAAAATCCTAAATCTATCCACTATTCTCCATTTCTACTGCCACTAACCCAGCGATATTCATCTCTCACTTGGATTATTAAATGTTTCCTAACTGGTCTTCCTACTTCTACTTTGCTCCTTACAATTCATTCTACATTCAGCAGCCCTTGAAAAATGCAAACTAGATTATATCATTCTTCTGCTTAAATCTTTACAATAATGTCCCACTGTACTTACAATACTTTAGACTCCTACTCAGGGCCTATAAAATTGTGCTTGGTCTGGCCCCTATGTGTCTGACCTCTCTTCACCTCATACCATGCTTTCAGCATGGTGTTTGGCCCATCTAGGCTTTCTTTCTGGTCCTTGACTACATCCAGCTCATTCCTGTCTTATGGCCTTTGCTTTTGCTGTTCTCCTTTTCCTGAAAGGTTCTTCCTCTAGATCTTAGCATGAATGGTTCCTTCTTACTCAAGTCTCAGCTCAACTGTTACTTCTTTTGTAACCACCCTATCTCAACCTACACCCCATGCAGAAGTGTACAGAACGTGCTACCTTTTGTGTAAGAATGATGAGCAAATATGAATGAAGATGTGTGTGTGTGTGTGTGTGCACGTAGTTGACCCTTGAACACTGGGGTCAGAGGCACTAACTCCCTGTGCAGCCAAAAATCTGCATATAACTTTTGACTCTCCAAAACCTTAACTACTAATAGCCTGTTGACTGGAAGCCTTACTGATAACATAAACAGTCCTGATCATAAACTAACTGCATTTGCATAAAACAGTACAGTTAATCTATCTCTTCCTTAGTGCTCGCTTTCTCTTCCTTACTAATAACTGTCCTTTGTGGCAATTATTTTTCCCTCCAGAGTAGGGCACTTTCAGCTGCATTAAAAACCTGTTCAAGCAGATATCCTTTCTCTTCAATGATTTTCTTAATGGCCTCTAACAATTTATTGCCTTTCAGTCCACAGAAGCTGCTTCTCCTGTTATCTTGACTTTTTTTTTTAAGCCAAAACTTCTTTTGGAAATTATCAAACCATCCTTTGCTGGCATTAAATTCTCCAGCTTTCAATCCTTCACCTTCCTTTTGCTTTAAGTTGTCATATAATGACTTCACTTTTTCTCAAATCACATTAGACTCTATAGGTATGCCTTTCTTACAGCAATCCTGCACTCACATAAAAGCTGCAGTTTCAATATGAGATAAAAGGGTATTTCACAAAAAGTAGAAGGATTTTGCACATGCTGATGTAGCTGTGATAATGGCTTCATGAATTTCCTTTTCTCTTTTTATAATGGTCTTTACTTTGGATGCATTATCTTGAAATGGCAGGCAACCACAGCTGCAGATCTTATTGATGCTATGTATCAAGCAATTCAACTTTTTCTTGTAATGTCATGACTTTTCCCTGTTTCTTAGGAGCATTTCAAGCATCACTAGTGGTACTTTGAATGGGTTCCATGGTGTTTTCAAGGTTTACAACATTGCACTAAACATAGCGAAAAATATGCGAAAACCTGAAAGATCACTTTTTACTGTGATATGCAAGAGACGTTACTGGAGAGACGAACTGCTCATGAGAAGATGGTAAGTGTCATATGGCATTTTAAGTGGATACTTGCAACACCTGAGCTCACTGAAAGAGCCAACAGGAGGTGGCCATGAAATTATTATAGTAGTGCAGCATGTAGTACAGTTAATTTTATGCAGTTATGCTTTAATACTGTACCTTTATGTTACTCTACATTTCTCTTGACTAGGAATGGTGCCATGTATGGTCTGCGTGTGTGTGCTTAAGTTTTGATGAATTTTAACTTTTTATAATAGATTTGTGTATATTTTATGGTAGTAAATGATAAATATAGACTAGTATCTATATACATTTTATGCATTCATGACATACTTTTTTTTTTAATATTCCTAGGCTACATGATTTGTGAGTTTTTTCAATTTGTATTATAAATGGACCCATGCTCATGACACAAAGTGTATGTGAACTGCTGTATGGAAAGTGAATTTGCTCTGTAAATCTTCACTCAAATCACAATAAAAAATGAAATAAATAAATGGACCCACCCAGTTCAAATCTATGTTGTTCAAGGATCAAGTGTGTATGTGTATATATATATATATACATATATACACACACACACACACACACATATATATGTTCATATTTGCTTGTATCGGCCTAAATACACACTGGAAGGATACCTAATAGACTAATAAAAATATTAACTTATGGGAGGATTTGGTGGAAAGGGACAAGGATAGAAGTGAGAGTTCTCATTTGTATACCTCTTTATACTGCTGTGATTTCTGAAACGTGTAAATATATTGCCCCCCCCCAAAAAAAAAGTATGTTGGGGGTGTGTCAGCACCCCTAGCAGGGGCTTCTACTCTTGGAAATGTGTATGGCAACCTAACAGCACGAGGTTCGCTTGTTTTGCTCCTCAGAAGTAAATCCTGGAGCGTGGGTGGTGGGTGGGGGCTTCAGTGACTTCTCCACATGTGACTCACTTCAAATGATAGTGCCAAAAAATAGACAGGGCCCTGCCAGGGTTGGAGTGGGAACCTGACACACCCCATGAACTCGACACTAGTAGGATAGCTTCCTCCACACCCAGAGCAAATCTGTTTCTTATGGCAGTAAGCTGCAAAGGCCTAGACAGGGAATTCCAGGGCTGGTTCCCACTGGAATTCAGTTTGACTTTTATTCAGTTCAGGGATATGTGCTCCTTTGGGTGACTGGGAACTAGGAGAGGATCAAGGGGAACCCTTGGGCATTACATAAGCAGTGAATGGGGGAAAGTCCCTAAGGTCTCACAGACTGTGTCCTGGTTTGGAAAATGGGATTATCTCTAGCTAGGTTTGGAAAATGGGATTATCTCTAACTAACAAGAATGGCAGAGGATTAATTGATATTTACAGAGTGAGGACAATGGAGATCATGCAGGATGATGGACCATGATTACAACTGTTAAGAATTCATCTCACTCATTATACTTGCCAAGTAATTATGAGTTTTTCTTCGTAATTGTTCTGGGAAGATACAATTGATTGTGGCCTAGGAAGGCTGGTAGTGACCTATTAAAAGTGGCAGCTTTCATATCAAAATGCAAGGTACATGGCTGCATCAAAAGCTCATCCTTTCAGTAGACCCCAGGAAAAAAATAGGTCAGTACACACAGTTCCCTACTTCCCATTTGTTAGACAGCAGGCAGGCAGCAGAGGCCTGTAGGGAGACTAGCTAATTACCTAAAGCACTATACATCATCAAAATGTAGAGAAATTTATCAGGGCAGTCCAGAAACTCAATGAAGGGCAGGAAGACAGAACCTAGTCAGAGTCCCTGAAATGGAGAGAAGTTACCAAGCTACTGTCAGAAGACAGAAATACATGGCTGACCATTTTACAGAAAATTCTCAGCAGAACTTCAGAAGAAAAGCTGAATCATTGTACTGCTGTGGCATACACCTCTAGACAGACTCTGAAAGGTCCTATTCTCCTAGCAACTGCTACTCTTCTGTACCAAACCTCTACTGAGGCAGAAAGGATATGGTTAAGATGGGGAGCCAGAATCCAGTGGCATCCCCATGTCTCCCATTCTCTAGGCAACAGTTTCTCCATATTCTACTAGTCCCACCACCACTGCTGCCATCAGACAACTCACCTGTACTGGCTCCTCCAAGACTCCACTGCAAATAGGGCAGATAAGGTCTTCATCAACATCCCCCTGGAAGCGGGTTACATCATACCCCATGTCTCATCACTGAAACCCAGGTCCTGGAAAACAGAAGAGCAGAAAGACAGGCCAGTTCAGGAGAAGCTTACATATACGTGGCCATTACGAACTCATTGTCAAGATGCATTCACTTGTTCAACAAAATCACTAAGACAGTCATTTGGAGGAGGGAAAAAAGTAGATTCAAGAAACTTGATTCTAGACCATAGTCGCAGGGAACATCAAGCTCAACTGGCATAATACGTGATACAAAACACTGTTCCACATTCTACTTTGGTGAGTAGCAACTGGGATCTTAAAAGCTTGCAAGCGGCCATCTAGAGGCAACAATGGGTTTCTCCTTGTCCAGAGCAAAGAAGAATGAAGAAAACCAAAGATTCATGGAAACAATTAGTCCAAGTGACTGGTACACCATGTGATCCTCAGCCTATACGACTATGAGACCAGAAGAACCAGATGGTGCCCCAGTTCCCATGGTCAACCACTTGGAGGGGGATCTATGTAGGAGATACTAGATAGAGTGGGAGAACAATGTAGAACAAAACTCAAAATTAAAAAAAAAAAAAAAAAAAGAGGGACCAGGTTTGCTGGTCTGATAGAGCCTGATGAACCACTGAAACTATGGCCCCTAGCTGCCCTTCAGGTCTGAAATTGAACCCACACCTGTGGCTTCCAGCCAAATAAAAGACAGGCATATGAGGTGAATATTTACACTACACAGACACATTCCTTGGAGAAAACAATTATAGGAGAATAGAAGTGCTGTTTATGCACAGGGACATAATTCAGGGGGCAGGAGTGCATGGAGGGAAGGACACAGGGAAGAGGTGATTATCGGGAGGACGTGGGAGGGGAGCTGTTGCATTGTGGTAAATTGTATTCAATGTCATGAGACAAAGTGTATGTTAACTGCTGTATGGAAAGTGAATTTGCTTTGTAAACTTGATTTTAATGGGGGAAGACATTAAATAAGCATATGTTTTAAAATACAAAGCAGTAAATGCTGAGAGACTAAGCACAGGACATTATGAAGACAAGAGATGTGGATAGTTAATGCAGGCTGAAAGGAGAGAGTGGTTTTGAGAAGTATTCCAGGAATAGATGTCATAGAGATCAGTCTTGCAGGAGAAGAGTTAGCTAGGTGTCTGGGATGAGGAGCACATGGTTTTAAGCACATGAAATAGCACAGTCAAGGTGCAGAAGTAAGAGGGGACATGATGATTTTGGGCTCAGAAAAAGGCTGATCTGAAGGATGCAAGGTATGGAGTATCAAGATAAAAGGCTGAAGAGGCAAGCAAGGGCCAGGCCATGAAAAATCTTATGTACTGACTCGGACTTTATCCTGAAAGCTATGGAAAACCACTGAAAGACTTAAAGAGTGATGTGACACTTGGCCACAGCCAGCTGCTACCCAGAGGGAGCGAGTAACTGGACCTATGGGCTCGGAACCATGGTCACAGGGGACATATTAAGCTCAATTGGCATAACATACTACACAAAAACTATTCCACATCCTTCTTTGGCAAGTAGCAACTAGGATCTTAAAAGCTTGCAAGCAGCCATCTAGATGCAACAATGGGTCTCTCCTTGTCCAGAGCAAAGAAGAATAAAGAAAACCAAATCAAACCAAAACCAAACTCACTGCTGTCGAGTCAGATCCGATTCATAGCGACCCCTCCTTGGGTTTCTGAGGTGGTATCTCTACAGAAGTAGATAGCCCAATATTCCTTCCAAGGAGTGGCTGGTAAGTTTCAACTGCCAGCTTTCTGCTGTTGTTGTTACGTGCTATCAAGTCGGACCCAACTCATAGCGACCCCTCCTTGGGTTTCTGAGGCAGTATCACTATGGAAGTAGATTGCCTAACCTTCCTTCCGAGGAGTGGCTGGTGCGTTTGAACCGCCAGCCTTCTGGTTAGCAGTCAAATGCCTTTGGCAGACACATGGAAACAATTAGTCCAAGGGACTGGTACACCATGTGATCCTCAGCCTACACGAGTATGAGACCAGAACTAGAAGGTGCTATCAGCCACTCAGAGGGGGATCTATGTAGGAGATCCTGGATAGAATGGGAGAACAATGTGGAACAAAACTCAAAATCATAAAGAAAAAGGGACTGGGTTTGCTGGTTTGATAGAGCTTGGTGGATCCCCTGAGACTATGGCCCCTAGCTGCCCTTCAGGTCTGGAATTGAACCCACTCCTGTGGCTTCCAGCCAAACAAAAGACAGGCATATGAGCCGAACATTTACATTAGTTAGATATATTCCTTGGAGAGATCAATCATGGGAGAACAGAAGGGCTGTGTATGCACAGGGAGACAGCTCAGGGGGCAGGAGTGCATGAGAGAGAAGGACATAGGGAAGAGGTAACTATGGGGAGGAAATGGGACGGGAGCTGTTGCATTGTGGGAAATTGTAGTCAATGTCATGAGACAAAGTGTATGTGAACTGCTGTACAGAAAATGAATTTGCTTTGTAAAGTTTCACCCAAATAACAATAGGAAAAAAAAAAAAAAATCACTCTGTCAACGGGAGAGACTAGAGACAGGAAGAACCTCTAGGGAGGAGAGAGACGGTGACAAGTCTGCACTTAGGTAGTGGTCATGAGGATACAGAAGAGATACTCAGGAGAGCAAGGACTCAAGGAACAGCAATGCTGCCGTGCCCCTTCTTGGGCTCCTAAGGTGTGGGTGAGCAATGTTGGAAACCCCTCTGTGTGCATCCAACCAGTGGACTATTTGGATCAAGGATAAGCATCTAATAAAAGGGCAACCAATCCACAGACCAGCCATCAGCCTGTGATATCCCAGATGAACGGAGCCAATCAGACAGTTCCCAGGAACTTAGAACCAACCTGTCCAGTTAGGAGACAAAAATGTAAAAGGGTGGGGGGTTTAGGGTACACAGAGAGGCCATGACAGAGGCTACATATAAGCTAAAGTACAGTGCTGGATTAAGAGTCAAAACTGTGTGGGTTGAGATCCCCAGTTTTATCACTCATAAGCTGTGTGACCTTGAGTAGGCTACATAACCTTCTAAGCCTAAGGGCTTTTTTGTTTTGTTTTGAATAGGTAAAATGAAGATAATAATAGAAGCAACCTCAGAGTAGCCTCAAGAAGATAAGGCATAGAAAACATTTAGCAAAGTGCCTGCTGGCATATAATACATGGTTGTTACCATTATTTATGTATACAGCTACTTCTACTAGTAGTTGAACAATTCCTTAAGGGAAGGAACTCATGTTCATGTCTGTATCCAATACAGCATTAAGCACAGTACCTTCATATACACAACAAATAAAAAGACATGATGTGTTTAAATGCTGCTTCCTAGCAGCTGGGGAATAGTGGACATCTACTATTTGGTTCCCCTAGCATCCCATTTCCTATAAATGGCACCACAGTTTCCTTTGGGAATCATACTCTGGTTCTGCAGCATACATGTCAACCAGCTCAGGACAATGAGAGTGATGCTGGGACATTTACTGGAGCTCTCAAGGGGCACTCTTTCCCCTAGGGTTACATAGCTGGTAGAATGTGTACCCAGGGTGGCTGGCGACCATCTTAGCCATTAATGAGCAGTGTCTGCTCATAGAATGAAGCCAATAAAGAAGAAAGCAGAGTTGAGATGTCAAGTTCAGATGAAATCATTTGAAGTCCTGGATTCAGCCATCCCTGTAGTCATGATCACCTTTTGAATGTCTTGGTTACATAAGCCACTAAATTTCCACTGTGTTTATGCTGGCACCAGCTAGATTTCTGTCTCTTTCGATTAATGTTGTTGTTGTTATGTGCCGTCGAGTCAAACCCGACTTATAGCGACCCCTCCTTGGGTTTCCAAGGCAGTATCACTACGGAAGTAGGATTGCCCAACCTTCCTTCCGAGGAGTGGTTGGTGGGTTTGAACCACCAGCCGTCTGGTTAGCAGTCAAGTGTCTTAGCCACTACGCTACCAGAGCTCCCTAGAACTCCTAACTAAAGATTATTGAAACAGCAAATGTTACATATAGATCTACTACAATTTAAAAAAAAAGGAAAAATAAAATCCTGATTAATACACAAGGTTCATGGATGGATACAGGAAATTACAAGGCTCCCTTTGGAGCACTGATCTTTATCCATTTATGTACGAACAATGATAGCCCTGGGACACTGACCTCCATCACCATTTCTCCATATACTTGTTTCTCCATCTCTAGAGCCTAAAGTTCAGGGCCCTTGGGCTTATTAACAATCCCTCTGAAACTGTCACTGTAAACCACCTTGACTGGGCTGTTTCTCATGGCAGGGAGGGGACTCTACCTTGTATTTGACTCCTCTGAGACCTCTGACCTGTTCCTTGGCCAAGAGAATAGAAGAAAATGGAAGCAAAGGATGTAATTCCCTTGAATAATCTATAAACACTTATGGCTGAGTACATAAGCAATGATATTAAAGACATAATGTGAACCCACAACTAAGGTTCCTTGTGATTCTCCTTGTGACTCACTGAACTAAAAAGTGAGAATGGTAGTTAATAAGAGCAGCCCACAGTGTTTTCGTCCTTATATAGAAGAATATAAGATAAGGTTAGAGCTGTAGTAAATACCCATGGCATTCTAGGATTTATACTCCTAGTGGAATAGTGGGTAAGACATTTGGCTATAACCAGAATGTCAGCACTTCAAACCCATCCATTCCTCCATGGGAGAAGATGACACAATCTACTTCCGTAAAGAATTATAGCCTTGGAAACCCAATAGAGGTCACTATGGCAGTAGGTTCTCTTTCTAGTCAGGGAGCCCTGGTTGAGCAGTGGTGAAAAGTGGTTGGCTGCTAACTAAAAGGTCAGTGGTTCAAACCCATCCAGTGGCTCCATGGGACAAGGATGTCCCAATCTGCTTCTACAGATTTACAATGTTGGCACTGTCCTGTGAGGCAGTTCTATTCTGTCCTATAGTGTCACTATGAGTTGGAACTGACTCACTGACAGTGGGTTTTGGGTTCTAGTCACATGACCCCAGTAGAAGATGAATCATAAGCACTATGAAACTTTAACCTAGGCT